TTCATAAGGAGTTCGTCCCTCCTGGTCAGACAGTCAAGAAAGAGTTCTATCACGATGTTCTAAGGCGTTTGAGGGAGGACATGAGGAGAAAACGTCCAGAGAAGTGGCGCACAAATGACTGGGTACTCCACCGTGACAATGCACAACCGCATACGGCTTACACTGTGCAGGAATTTTTGGCTAAAAACAAGATGGCAGTTGTTCCCCACCCACCATACTCGCCAGACTTAGCTCCATGCAACTTCTTTCTCTTCTCCAAGATGAAAATCAAGTTGAAGGGGTGAAGATTTGATACAGTTGAGGAAATTCAAGCAGAAACGCAGACAGTACTAAACACCCTAACAAAGAAAGACTTCCAGGATGCATTTGAAAAGTGGCAGAAACGCTGGGATCGGTGTATGCGCTCCCAAGGGGACTACTTTGAAGGTGATGGTGCAGAATAAGATCTAGGTAAGATGTAATAGTTTTTATTAATATATTTCGGGAACTTTTGTATTGCACCACGTATTTACATTAAAATATAGTATGTAGTATAGATGTATAAAATGCCTCTTTGAAAGCTCCTTGCTTCAAACGCAGATGATCAGCAGAAAAAGTAGGAGATGAGAGGAAACCGAAGGAAGTGTAAGGATCCAGCCTCAGTTTTCTCTTAACACACTGTCAGGAAAGTAATTATACAAGAATGAGAATGTGACAGTTGCTGTATATTGAGGCTACAGACTGACCCTCCCCACATTTCCTCAAACTGCTATGTTTCCATGCCCAACGTACCTCCCTATATAACCCTCGAGTTGCCTAGATATTCTGTTCAGAGAAAGTTGGTAGTGATAACTACATGACAGTGACAAAGAGCTTTTGGCTCCCTGATATGTCACAGGGAGGTAGAGGGGAATACAAGAGTAGCCAAGAAGGAGTAAGCCTCGAAAGGCACCATTCATAATATTGATGGGTCTTCCTTCCAGGTCCTTAGTACAGCAATCAGACTGGTCCTTTCAGCTCAATAACACCATATCAAATGCCAAATTTAAAGTGAGATGAGAGGGTGAATATGTATAATGAATTCAAAAGAATTTGAGGCCTATTTCAATGTACTGCTCCCATTTACAATTTACAGGCTCCAAACAAGTCAATACAGGAGAATTAACATAAACTTCAGCATAAAGCATCAGCCTAATGAGCTAAGGAAAATTAAGAACGAACCTCTGCTGGGAAAGTCAGTGACATAACTGAGACCCAAAACAATTATCTGTAGAACACAAGATAGGTGTGTTGCTACTTTATTGCTGAGACTAAATGTACACAAACACAGCAAATTCATTTCATCTATTGTTAATTATTATTTCATAAGTCAGTGAAAAAGTTCTGGGGAGAATAGCATATTTTCCTTTCAAACGACAACTTCCACACAGAAAATGATGCATTCAACAATTCTTCTACCGTTGCAAGTGTATTCATTGCCACAGTAACATATTTATCAGCTGTTGTGTAGCAATACTAAGGGGACACACAGACAGACACACAGACTAATGGGAGGAATTTGTGAAGTACACCAATGAGATGGGCTCAGGTGCCATGATATACATACCAAGTTTCACTAAGACTCGTACAGGCACTCAAAATTTTATGTGGGGGGGATATACAGTCAAGCAGACAGAGACACACACACAGACAGCATGGTGATTTCATAAGCATACTTTTACTTTTTCAAAATAAGGAAAGCAGGCTAAGAACATGATGGAATATATTCTCATTAATATGCAGTAAAAGTGTACTACTGTAAGCTTTCTTCTTCTTCTCCAGGACATGATCTGTAGTAGTTCATATGCAACACAGAAACATACGTATCACCTTTATGATTATTACTGCAATCTTTATTCTGCTCTACATCCAGGTATTATGGCATTATACTACAATTTTGAAGGGTTATGATAACACATCAAAAATATTTTGAGTAAATAATTAACTGCAATATCTTTTGTCTAAATTACATAACAGTATTAACTAGTCAATACAGGAGATGAGTTAGCTCAGTCAGTATAACAACTACGTTATGGGCTCAAAGAGAGAGCAGTCAGGGTTTCATTCCTGACAAAGGCAACAGATTTTTCTCTTCTCCATAATCACCAGACCACCTCTTGGGTCCACCTAGCCTTCTACAAAATGTGTACCAGGGACTGGTTCCTGGCAGGGAAAGTGGCAGGGGTTTCTTACTGACCACTCACCTCTGTTTAATGCTGAGGTGAAGAATGGTGGAGCTACACTTCCACTCTCCCATAAGTCTTCACAGCACAATGCTTAATTAATTAGAGCCCACAGGTAACTATACCTTTACATTACTAGCAGATATATAATACTACAACAAGATAATGGACACACAATTTTCTGCAACACCATTAAATCTGTAAATGAGATGAAGAGGCAAATTTTTCTTGTGCTTAATTAAGAACCATACCATGAAGATGTATGGAACTGGATGTACAGCTTCACACTCCAGCTGCTTTACATTTGAGGGACAGGGTTCTTGACACCCACTGGATTAGAGGCTGGATGGGCCCCAGAGCCAGTCTGATCATCGCAGGAGAAAACATCTCTGCCATTGCAGGGAATAGAACCCTTCTCATTCAGCCCATAGCCTAGTCATTATACTGACTGAGCTACCCTGGAATTTAACAAATACCCCAGAATGTCACCAGTTAAAAGGTACAGTTCACCCTGTGCTTAATTAGTCAACCACTATGCCATGAAGACATATAGGGAAGTGGAGGTATAGCTCCACCTTTCTTGACCTTGACACTAGATGGAGGTGAGTGGCCAGATTCACACACCTGTCACTCTGCCCCTAGGGAAAGAGCCCCCAGAACCCACTAAGTAGGAGGCAGTGTGGACCCCAGAGTAGGTCTGGATGCTGTGGAGAAGAGAAAAATGTTGCACTGCAGGGAATTGAGCCCAGACCATTCAGCCCTTAGCCCATTGCATAACAACTGAGCTATTCATCATTTAAATACTATATATACTGGAAATCTGGTGGCAGTATCTTAAATATCATATAACTGACTTGGAGATTTCTGTCTGCAGCTTACAGCCTATGTTTGTTTAAAAAACGTACAAAAATAAATTACTAAAATTCCTGCTTTACAAGCATTTCAACAAGAATTCAGTTCTAAAGTTCTGTCTGGGGACAAAATCAGTGTTCATATTTGCAATTAATTTGCAAATTAATTACACTTTATCCTTTAATTCATACTGTAACCTGCCATCATGGCAGTTTATCAGTAAAGCCCAGGGCTCACTAGAACACTGTACAGGAATCAACGGTCTCATGTACCTGAGTGCTGGTACGCTCTCCAGTTCCACAGCTTGACAACAAGTGTGTCCATCAGTCAGCGTCAACTTCAACATTCGTGGAGCTGCTCTCGACTCTTCATTAGCCTTTGGAGCTGACACATTGCGGATCTTTTGTATTTGGACAACTATTTTACCTGGAATCTGAAATTTTGTATATTACAAAACATGATATAGATTTATAAGATTTGAGATTTTAACAGAGGTGACTATGAAGAAAGCCATCTTCTGGGATATGGCGCCATGTAGACATTGTGTTAACCGATGTTTTGGAGGAACGTATCGCCTCCATCTTTAGGACAGAAGAAAAAGGAAAATCTGCGAGCGAGGAACCACCGTGTTGACAGACTAATGTAAAGTCAAATAAACCCAGCTGTATAAAAGCTGCTCTGGCCGACTACCTGCGGGTCCACCTCCACAGACCCTTCCCCCCTCTCTCTATTGATTTCCCATGTGGCCCTTCTCTTATACAGTTGGGTTTATTCAACTCGGCATTAGTCTGTCAGTATGCTGGTTCCTTGCTCGCGGATTTTTTCTACCCTGAAGATAGAGGCGAAACATTCCTCCGAAACATCGGTTAACATAATATCTACACGGCGCCACATCCCAGAGGACGGCTTTCTTCATGGTGTGGCTTGTTACTTCTGATTGATAAATACTTGATAATTTCAATAGATAGTGAGTAATAAATACGTGGTTTATCCAAAAGTTCCAGAAATTTGAGTTTTGCGCACGAATGGTTATGAGTACATCGAAATACCGCTAGGTGTCTCCTCATACACTCTTCTTGAATCAGTGTGGCAAGCGGTGTTGAGCTGAGTGGTTGGGTTTATTGTTGGTGAACATATTTCCATTGTTTTGTTTCCGTGAGTTTGCAGTTTGCGATGGCTGTCATAGGAGAGCAGCGTGTCTACATAAAGTTTTGTTTTAAACTTGGGAAAACTGCTGCAGAAATGCACCAAATGTTGAAGCAAGCTTTAGGTGACAACAGTTTAGGTCAGACACAAACTTACGACTGGTATACGCGTTTCAAAAATGGATGAACATCGACTGATGATGACGATCGTTCGGTACGGCCATCAACTGGCACCACACCAGAAAATGTCGCGGAAGTTAGGGATCTGAGTCTGCAAGATCGTTGACTGACCATCCAAGACCTCTGTAACACCTTGGGACTAAGTTATGGTACATGTCAACGAATTCTGTCAGAGGAACTGAACATGAGGAAGATTGCAGCAAAATTTGTGCCATGACTGCTGCAAAATGAACAGAAGCAGCATCGCTTGGAAGTCTGCAGGGAACTTCAGCAACAGCTTCAAGAGGATCCAAACTTTCTTTCGAAGGTTGTCACTGGCGACGAAAGTTGTGTTTATGGCTACGACCCTGAAAGCAAGCAGCAATCGTCGCAATGGAAGAGCCCTTCTTCACCTTGGCCAAAAAAGCTTGACAAGTCAAGAGCAACATTAAGTCCATGTTGATTTCATTTTTGATATTGACGGGATTGTTCATAAGCTGTTCATCCCTCCTGGTCAGACAGTCAAGAAAGAGTTCTACTGCGATGTTCTAAGGCATCTCAGGAAGGATATGAGAAAACGTCCAAAGAAATGGCGCACAAATGACTGGGTACCCCACCATGACAACGTACAACCGCATATGGCTTACATTATGCACAAATTTTTGGCTAAAATCAAGATGGCAGTTGTTCCCCATCCACCGTACTCACCAGACTTAGCTATATGCGACTTCTTTCTCTTCCCCGAGATGAAAATCAAGTTGAAGGGGCGAAGATTTGATACAGGTGAGGAAATTCAAGAGGAAACGCAGACGGCACTAAACACCATAACAAAGAAAGACTTCCAGGATGCATTTCAAAAGTGGCAGAAACACTGAGATCAGTGTATGCGCTCCCAAAGGGACTACTTTGAAGGTGATGGTGCAGAATGAGATCCAGGTAAGACATAATAATTTTTATTAACATATTTTGGGAACTTTTGGATAGTACCACATACTTAAAAATCATCATCTACAAAACTGACTTACATTCAAGTTTATAACACATCTGTCCTGCTTCTTTTAATCTTAAGAAACCCATTCTAGCAGCACATTCCATACAAAAGTGAACTGACTTCCTATCTGTGTTTGTGTCCAGGGCACCACTGAAACACCAGATCTGAACAGCACTCCTGCCCATTTCACACATGAGAAACACAGTATTATAGACCTTCAACCTTCTGGTGATTCAGTATTTCTTAGATTGTTGACTCATTGGACTGCAAAAAGAATGTGGTCAACTTAAGGTTATTCAGCCATGGTTTATCCAGTTTGCATGTTATCTGTGTGTTTGTGTGCATTTTTTCATTTGTATAAAATCACAGATTTTTACAGAAGTGGACATGTGTGAATTGGACGCCATCAGTGCTGAGGTTGGGGAGGGAACATAAGAGATAATCTAATGGCATAAGTGTAAATAGTGGAAGTGGTGCTGCCTGCAGAAAACCAATGAACCATAATTTCTTAAATCAATCTCAAACAGCCTTCCTTTCCATTAAAATAGCCAGAAACGTGAACAGCTAATGCATTTATGAAAACCAGTTCCATAAAATGTTTATTCCAGAAGTTACATATTTCTTGTAATAGAAAATGTAACAGAATGCAGTGCTACTATCAGACACTTCATCTTTATATTCCACTGTGCTGTCTTTACATCAATGTAATCTTACTGTCTCTACTGCCACAGCCGTAATAAAACCCACGGATCAAGATGTGACTGTGTCAGGGCTGGTATCGTCACAACTACTGTCAATAAAAACTCTGTGGTTTTAGTCCACAAGTGAACTATACCGACCAAGAGACCGCCACATGTCAGTGAAGTTAGTGTCAACTTTAGCGGATAGAGGGTGTTGCGTGGTCTGCATAACAAATCCCCACGGCTGTTAATTTCAGTTTTCTAGACCGAAGGCACTATTTCCTTGAAATAGCTCCTCAATTATCCTCACAAGGCTGAGTGGACCCCATTCCAGACCCACTACTTAGAAAATCTGGTAGCTCCGGGAATCGAACCCGGACCTCTGGATCTGTAGCCAGGAACTCTGACCACTAGACCACAGAGGCAGTCTTTCACAACTACTGTCTATTAATTACTTTATTTTTATTTATTTAATGACATTGAGCAGCTCAGAGTATATACTGTAGTATGACAGATGATTTGTGTATGCTTCATAAAGATGAGACCGCCTCTGTGGTCTAGTGGTCAGTGTTCCTGCCTACAGGTCCAGAGGTCCAGGTTCAAATCGCGGTGCTACTAGAGTTTCTGAGAAGTAGTGGGTCTGGAACGGGGTCCACTAAGCCTCATGAGGATAACTGAGGAGCTATTTCAAGGGAATAGAGGCTCTGGTTTAGAAAACCGAGATTAAAGGCTGTGGGGATCCAGTGCACTGAGTGACACACTCTATCCGCAAAAGTTGGCACTAACTTCGCCGACAAGAAGCAGTCACTCGGTTGGTATAGTTCGCTTGCGGACTACAGGCCACAGAGTTTGTTTGTGTGTTCATAAATGTGAGGAAGGAAATGACCATGGTCCAATGTGAAATACTATTTGGCCATTTACCCATAGGGACTGAGAAAAACCACAAAAAGCCTCAGCCATGATAGCCAATCTCCAAGTTGAGATCTGAACCTTGGAGCTCTCAGTTACAAAGCAGGAGTGCTAACCAAGAGGCCATGATGTTTCATACAAGCCTTGTCAAGAAAGCTGATAACATTACAGCATTCTGGAAAAGGTGACAGTACTACAGATTCTCTAATCATCCTGTCTCTGGCATAATCTTCAGTGAAATCAGTAATTCTGCTTCACCATGGCGAAAACTTCTTCCAAATCTAGATGATTATGACGATTTTCAGGGGTTTTCCAACAAGTCTGAAATTACTGATTTGGAAAATGTTTTGAAATGGTATGAAAACGTTGATGAGGGGAACCTGAATAGCTGTCAAGTGAGGTGTGTGAACCTGGCTTCCAGTATGTGCCTCATGCAAACATTATTATAACAGCATCACAGGACAAAGGCATGCAGAAGAGAATGTGATTGTGCTAGTCACAGCAAAATCATATTCAAGTATGCTGACACTTTGCTAGATGTATAAACAAATAAACATTATCAATTATGTGCCACAATGAAAGCCTCTTATGGTGAAGTAATTTGTGATATGCTGCAAGGACACAAAACAGAATATTTTGGAATATCTATGGTTTACAATCATTCACAAATTTCATCTCCCCTTCGTTAGCAAACATAAAAACTGGAGCTGACTGTACATCCAAATGTTTCTAAAAGGTTAGCACAGTATGTAAAATAGCTTAAGAACCTCTTACTGACTCCCGTCTCAACAATTTTGTTACATTATGTCATGGCAGTTCTCAGCTAGTGTAACACTGACTTGTCAGAAAATGGTGTGCTGTCACTTTTTCAAATAACTAGCACTCGGAGTAGCTAAATAGTTCTTCAATCCAGTCAACAGCAGTGACTTCATTTTTCTTTTGTGTGAGCATGTGAACAGACTTAGTGCTGCTTCTCCATCCTCCCTTTCATCTGGCCTAGTTCCCATGAGACTATTCCAGTATAACTAAGTATCTCATATTCATGTTCTATATAGTCAATATCAAAGTACTGTTCTACATTCTGCCAATACTTTTACAGCCTTACAAATTACAGCCTTACAAATGCTGCACATGCCTCAAGAGTGTGTGATATTAACTTCAGCAGTAAATTCAGAAGAGCAAAACATATGGCCTGTAGATCCCTTGCCAGACAAAGACCATGAAATAAATGACTATAAAACAGCCCTTGCTAGGTAACAGCTCCACCAACAGACACAACCGCAACAATTCCACTGCAACAGAGGAGCGGTGTTTTCATGCGGTCCACACCGAGGTGTTATACACCGGCCAAGCGGAGTGGAGTGGAGTCGGTTAGTGAGTTAGATGACTACTGGCATTCAGTTGTTGGGAGCATTTGCTGTGGGAAGTTGGTAGCTGAGACCAAGGAAAGTTTAGGAACCCAGAGGAAGGCGAATGTCCACTGTTGGAAGCCACTACCAAGCAATGGCTAGTACAGAGTGTAACAGACTGAGAATACTAGTCTGTGTGTGATGGTGGGTTGTAAAGTGTAGTCACAAGGTGCATATTAAAGAGTTCAATAAATCCAATTACCAATCCAAATCCCATTTATAGTCCCTCCATATACATGACAATATACACATACCATACCAGTTACATTCTATATCTATTTACTAACCAGATTATACGTTTATCCAACATGGTAAATAAAGCTTAAAGTAAGTCACATTTACAAATACTTACACTGTCCAGCTTTCCTTTATTAATGTCCTCAGGAAATGCTGCTGCCCCAATTTCACGAAGATCAAACTGAAACATGTCCCGGTGAACGAACCATTATGTACTAAATATTACACACAGTAATGGTATATTAGTTTTACAGTACTGCAACACAATTGGGTTAGGGTTTTATGGTTTCTTTAATGATACTGTCAGTGGCTAAGCACATACAGCATCCAATGGTAGGATGATCAGCGAATAATGAAATATGATGTGGAAGAAAATGGTGATGACCTAATTTAAGGTACTATCCCAACATTTGCAGAAGAGACTGAGAAAAGCCACTTGTGTCACTCAGGATAGGCAGTATCTCCACTGAGATCCAAACCATGGACCTCATAAATACAGGTCAGAAATGTTACCACAGGAGGCACCCTGCAGACCATGTACATGTATGAATTCAGCATGCGTCTGCATGACATCGCTGTGCCAAATTAAAAAAAAATGGGAGAAATTTCATGTTTCACAACAGCAAATACATGGACCTTCTCATTCTTTCCGAGTTCTCTTCCATCCTCCATCCCACCATTATCCGTTCTGGCACTATTTTCCAACAAACTCGCCATGGTTTACAGATGTTCTGACATAAATTCTTCATATAAAACCTTATTCCATCAAGATTCAATCCATTTCTTCAACACATTATAATGTAACACATAAATTCACAACGACATTCTTTGCACTTTATTAAGCTTACTTGCTGCTAATTTACAAGTGGTCCCTCAGCAAAAATAGACTGTATCATATAAAATAAGCAAAATTCATATTCCAATAGCATTATTATGCATAATACAAAATCACAAAAGAATATGTAAAATTGTTTATAGTATATGTGGAAAAGCTCATTTATGGTCATATGTAAATAAGGTTTATTAATCAGTCAATATGCCTAAAATTGAAATGTCCCATTATGCAAAAATTTCTCATACTGAATTAATAATAATTCATCATTCATCAGTAATCTGTCAGATGACAGGTCCACAGTCTCTTCCAAAACAGTTCCTCCACTTAATGCGATCTAGAGCTTTCTCCTGCAGATGAGAATATCCTCTTCTGTCCCCAAGGTCATCCAGCAACTTCTTACGTCTTCTTCCTCATCTTCTGGTTCGCACACATGGTGTCTTTGTTTTTGGAAAGAGACTATCCAGGAAAAGTGATAATGTGGTAGTTTTTCCATTTGCTTTCCACATCGCAGTACAACAGCCGTTCAAACCACTCTGGTCACGCCTGTTGCTATACGAACTTGAACCATCTCAAGCATCATTTGCTCTGTGCTTCAAGTCGCTGCTGATGACGCTGCTTCCGGCATATAAATAATAATAAAATCTGAATGGTTTAAAGACTAAGTCATGGTCAGTGAGACATGACAGACATAACCTCAACAAAGGACATTATTTTTTACTTTGTAAAGAATGCCTAAAAATGAGAGCCAAAGCATAGAATTCACCATGAATTCATCAGTAGCTGCTACGAATGTCACCAATCAAAACACATCGAAACCATAGCTACATGAAACAGACATGTGGGAAAAGTGCAATACAAAAAGGAGACCACCAATCACAGTGTTCGCCCATCATCTGTATCAAACCCTTAGAAAATGTAACAGTTCTTCACACCCACTGCTGCAAGAATCTCAAATCCTACAACAATAAACGTTTTGATTTAAAACACCTTGCGAGTGAAGCATACTTAAAGGCTAGTCTATAACCGGGATACAGACATACTGTTAAACTAGGATTTTTTATTGCTACTGGGGTGGGACTAAGTCCCTTGTACTGCAGCCACTTCTGGCCTATTCTACCAGCCTCAGATGATAGGTGAGGGTGATTGTGGAGCAGTTGGTGGAATGAAGATTGGCAGGGGAAACTGAAGTACTCAGAGAAAACCTACCCCAGTGCCACAAATCCCACTTGACCAGACCCGGGATTGAACCCGGGCTGCCACGGTGGGAACCCAGCAACTAACCGCTTGAGCTATGGCGCAGCCTTAAACTAGGTTACTACAGCATTACTATACCTCATGCGTTTCATTACCCCATGCTCATGAGAAGTGTTCAGGTTGTGTAAAACTCATAACAGATCATACCAGCTGTTCTCATGGCAATAACTATTTGGATTACTCTATGATTCTTCAATTGTACTTCCCAAAAGAACACTTGAAGTCTGTTTAAGATATGTGACATATTTCTGTTCAATATTAGAGCTTTATTTTTTAGAAAAATAACCATGTGATCACCAATAGTATCAATGTCTCACATTCATAGTGCTTTCAACAAAGGGCTACTTTTGGAGATTTAGAAACACATTTACCACCCAACATAATACCATTTACATAGGTTTAACAAAACAAAGCAAAAAAAATCTCTTGTTCCTTACAACACACAAGACTTTCACTGCTGGCAAACTGTAACCAACTGAAAGATTTTATGATACCGAATTATATTAATATAAATTTCGAATATGCAGCCAAAAGCACCTTCTTCTCCGCAGTCCTAAAATGCACGAAGAGACGGACAGAAGGGAAGGCTGGTAAACTATGGAAACTGGCTGCAGCCACTGAATATAACCCATATTACTTTCTTTTCTCTCACATTGCTGGGAAGTATTAACTTACATCAAGGGCTTTGCGAGCAAGAGTTTTGGCATCTGTAACATTTTCATTTTCACTGAGCTGCTGAAGCCCTTCGGCAGACAAGAACCTGCGAAGAATAGAAAATTAAAATTCTAATAACACTTTAGAGTTCATATGAAATTTTAGTTCAAAGCACACAATGATTAACAGCAGTACTGACCACGTAAATAGTCCGCCAATAATAATATAATACGAAAGAAAATTAATATACTGCTTACATGCATTAATCAAATAACCACACACTAAAATACTGAACATACCACCCCAGCTCTTTTAACTTGTCGGCGACTTCCATATTGCTTGCTGAAGAATCTTCTGCCATCAAGTATGCAACAAATCACCGAGTTATTTCTATTCTTCCCATCCCTCCGGGCATCGTTTCGTTTCTATGAAAGCGCGCAAACAATATCTGAGCACAAGAATTGTTCAGAACTACATTTAATACATCACGCTAAATTACTATACTTATTAAACAATTTCTTACAGTATGATAGTTCAAATTCTGTCACATAGATGGCAACTGAATTTACTAATTTCAAACACCATTTGCAGCAGAGGTTAGTGTACATATAACGATGATCTCAATGACGAAGATTCAACTTCCGTATATACAGAAGTCACCTTCAATCACTAGATGGCAGAGAAAGTACTCCGTGGTTTCTATTTTGAATTGTATATATTAAACTACTTGCCGGTCTAAATCTATAACCCAAAAGGGAAAGTTGTCCTTGGTCTTAACCGATAAAGCACCACGTCATGGAGACGTATGGGGGAATGGAGGTATGGCTCCACCATTCTCGATTTCGGCAGTAGTTGGAGGCGGACGGTGGTGAGTAGTCAAATTCACGACTGTTCACGGCATAGTCACTCGCCCCCCCCCCCAATTAAAGCGCCAGTAGTGCTCATTGGCATAGGAGGCTAGGTGAGCCCAGAGCTTGTCTGGACTATCTGGAATGGTCTGGAAGCTGTGGAGAAAAGAAAAATCACTTTCCCCTGCAGGAAATCGTACCCATGTTTCCCAGCCTGTAGCCCATTGCTATACCGAGGAAGCAATCCCGGCACAGAATGTATTTATTGGATGTTTATATTCATTCCTATAGTGAATAATTTAAGCTCTGTTGAATAATATTAAATTTTGCATACCATTATGCAAAGAAATGTGAAAAATGTAAAATAACAGCTACAGCATCTATTTTGTCACTTTTGAGCCCAAGGTGTTTCTGGATCAAATGAGTTCTTGTTGCTGGCTGCATGGGTACAGATTGTAGCCCGGTAGTACCACTGGCCATTGACTTCTTGTCAAACAGCAACAGCAGACAATATAACAGCTTAAAATTATAGACGGACACTGAGCGGGTGTATTGGTTGGGAATATGATTTTCTTTTTCATTCAGTTTTATAAACTCAAGAGCCTCAAGAGTGCCCCACAGTTTACAGATTTGTAAATATTAAATTTTCTGCATTACAACACAAACAGTTTGATTTCAGTTATTTGACTGGTGATTATATAATGCTCCATACCATCACAAATGTGACTACTGAAATTATGCATCTCCTGTACTCAAATTCACTTTCTGAAAACTTCTTGGTGGTAGGAAACCAACCGTTACATTTCTGTAATGGATACTTATTTTATATTTGCTCAAATTCAAATAGTTTGGGGTAATGTAATTTATATTTTTAGAGGGTTACTGCAAATTGTTATATGCACAAATGTTTAGGGTATTCAAATATGAAGGAAATATGAAAGGATAACTGTGCATATTTTATTATAAGAGGTGAGAAGGTAATACGGGAGCCCTAGAGTAAATGTGCCAGTTCTCCTCAATCCAGCCTTGCATTTGGCCAATCACTTAATAGAAACAAAATGAAAGTATTGTGTGCCATGTATTTTCCCAAATATCCTGGTGTCTATACTCAGCTGTTTCAGAAGAGAGAACAACGATTAGAGTTTCAGTAAAGTGTTTTGCCATGGCATCCAGAAGTAATAAAAATGAGAAATTTAAATTAAATACTGCAAATCTATGATTCGCATATGCAACAGACTGGAAATTTGACCATTATAATCGCATCGTTGTTGAAAAGAATGTTTGGTTGACGTAGATAATACCAGATTTTACTCAGTTAGTGTCTAGCCTCATGACTGAAGATGTGGGGTGTCTGACTATTTCACTTCCCTGATGATGTCCAGACAAAAAAGAAAAATGTTATGCCTTGCAGCAGTGCCCGAATACACGTAGGACCAACATGCAAAATCTGAACACACTGTGGGATGTCGTTATGTGAAGGGACAAGCCCCTGTTGAACTGTTCTATAATATTTATTATAGTTGCACAGTATAGACAGACAAACTTGAGTTTGAATACTTGAAGAATAATAGTAATAATGAATTCTATAAGACCTTGAACGTTATATTGAAATGCAACACTGAACCAGTACTGTAGAGCTGAAAAACTTCCACTAGTGTATCTTCTTATATAAACTAGAGTCAGACCTACAGACAACATATCACTGCCCACATTGTTGTAGGCTTTGTCTAGCAACAGCTGTTTACTTGCTTTGCCTAGCAATGGCTGTTTACTTGCCATTGCTAAGCAATGACACTTGTGTTGTCACTGTAATGTTTGCTTGAATGTGGGCAGTTCCCACAATGCAATAAATCTATATAAATAAATAAATAAACTCACTTTCTGATAGTAATGTCAAATGCTCAACATCATTGCACATAATTTTAAGACATTTGCAACCAACTTCCACCTTCACAATCTGCTGCCTTAAAATCCATCTTCATACCATCTCCCACTGCCTTTTTGGTCTTTCAAGTCATTTTCCACACCAAAATCTGGCAGGCACTCCTAGTCTCCCCATATCAGCTATGTTTAGCCAGACACCACCATCTAGACTTCACTAATCTAACAACACTAGATGACTTGCATAGCCTAAATATCAAAGCTCATTGTTATATGATACCTTAATTGCCCATTTTCTCCATCCTTCTCAGGCACAAATATTTTCAGATATCTTGCATATTCTTTCTTCTGGTTAACATATCACACTCCACACTAATACAAAACAGTTGGCAGAATTATTGCTTTCATCCCCATATTAAACCTTCTGGAAAGTGGATGTGATGGTAACAACTTTTGTAACTTAATTATAATAAGAAAATTATAATTTCCTGTGATCTTATGTCTATGAATAGGAAATAATTTAAAATACATCACCATATAGTCTGTTCACTCTCTAAGACTATCCTCCCATCATTATCTCGGTCGTCCAACTGGGTGGTAATTGGAAATGCAATCAACACAAAATGAAACAGATAAATACAGACAAAACTGGATGAACCATTCAGATACAGTGACTGACAGAAGAATACCAAAACAAATTTTACAGTATAAACAAAAGGATATCAAGATGAAAGAAGACTTTGGAAACAATGAAATGAGTATGTGAAATCTGAAGAAGCTTGAGTGCAAGTACATAAAGTGGAGGAGGAGAAGGAGGAGGATAGTAATAATAAATAAAGAACTTCCACAAACTTTTCATGAGGAGGACTGTGGAATACATCATTTTGAAGTATAAAACAACTAAGACATTTTTAGAGAACTAGAAATGTCAAAAATAACAAAATTTATAAACTATACATGAGAAGTTGGAAATAAGAACATAACACTTACATAACGAATGACTTTTGACATGATAAAAAAAGATATTGAAATGTCAACTGAAAGGAAAAGAAGTTTGGGAACACTCTGAAATGATGTAAGAATTCTCTTCTTTAATATCTGTAACAAGTCTCAGTAGGCCTAATACTGGAAATTCCATTATGCACTGGCTTCAATCTATCATTTTTACCTACCATTATTGGTATGAGTTATTGTCCCACTGAATGAACAAATGACACATTATCACCTTAACACTTTGCCGACCAGCAATTTAAATATTTAAATCACCCTGGAGACCGGCATTTTTTAACCCACTACCCTACCTTGTGCACTGTTCAATTTAAAAATTAATATAAAATATTCTAATTAATTTTATGAACTAAAATTGTTGGAGAACACTTACCAATGCTTGTACTTCTAGAAGTGCTTGAGAGTGTGATATTTCTTGAAACATTCCCCTTCTACCTGCACTTTCGTCAGAGCTACTTTCACTTGTATTGTCTGTAGCCACAGTTGTTTATTGTCCTCTGCCACTGCCACTGTCAAATCACTATCACTACACGTCTCAGAAGGAATGTCAAATAGCTCACGTCAGACAGCATGTCGAAGAACAAGTCAGATATTCCTTGGTTTTCAACCGCTTCTGTCCTTGACTCATTGCGCAACTAACTTCCTGCCTGGTACATAAGAGCTTGAAGGGTCAAAGATAATATTCCTTTGGAAGGGGTACCCAAACAGCGAGATCAAGTTACTGCCTACTAAGCAAACATTCCGGATTAATAATCCGCAGTAGTCATTTTATTTGGGTGGCGTCAGAGAAAGGTATAATGTGTTACAATCTAACGTGTCCTAAAGTCATAAAAATATGCCACTGGTCTGCCATGTTTAAAAGCGCTGGGCATAAATATATGCCACCAGTCCACAAGGTATTAATGTCACACCAAGTAAATGTGGGGGCAGAATGAATTTTATGCAGTTAAAAATAAAATATGAGCATTGAAAGTAATGTCTTACATATGCATATATATATTTTTTGTTACATAGTACAATACCAGCAGAATTACATTATGTACTTGTACATGTATACTGTAAATATATGAACACATTTCACATTAGTTTGAAAATATACAAATTGAAATTTTCTTACATTCTCAGAGTAATGTATGGGAAACAATATAAGAACAAAAAACATAGGATTATTATTCCTATTATTATAAGTACGAAACACATGGCTTTAATGTTTGTTAACATTGTATTACACCATATTTTTCATAAGGGAAGAAAAGCTACAATTTGGGAAATTTGTGTACTAAGTAAATATCAATTTTATTAGTAGCATACCCAGTTTTATTTATCACAGAATGATGTAGTCCAGTCTGTCTTGGAAAGTATTACAGGAGCCATAAAAAAAATATAGTTATTAATAGATTCCTTTCCTCTCCTGTTGGCTTTTTAGATAATGATTGTAAGCAAACCATCTAAACCTAATATGTAGCAGGAGCTTACATTTATTGTCTTATTATCTGTTTCAGTGCTTTATTTCATAATCACATTTTAGCTACTGCACAGATTAGTCATCAGATAAATCTTTGTGTGTAGCTAGTAGGTCATCTCTGACTAGTAGTAATCTGTAGCTGTATCTCATAGAAACAACAGTAATTGAAAGCATATGATTTAGAAGGCTTGTTATAGAAGCATTTCACACTTTGATTGTGTTTCATGTACTGTGACTATGTGTACAGTTACAGAATTCCACTATTTCCAGGCTAATTTCTTCATCATGCAAACACTTCAGCCATAAATTGTCAATGAATAATCCGTCGAGTGTAACAACGTTCTTAGGTCACTTATCTATTTCACTCGCCTTACATGTTTCGG